ACCACAATTGTTCATGGTTGGCTCCTTCCCAGATATCCATAGAGTTACAGAGCAAAGTGTATATAAAAGTTCAAACGTCAAAATTGTCACAATCGTCGAAATTAGTCGGCGCCAGAGACAATAGGCAATTAGCTGTGGGGCGACCGTGAGGATGGGGAGAGTTGACATTTACACAATCACGACTGAACCATGAGAGGGGTGAGACTTGTCAGTAGACTATAAATTAAACATACAGATTAGTAAATTAGAGTATGTTTTCTTGGCTAACAGTACAATAGCTTAGGTATGCCGTAGTGCTGCTTATTCTAAAATTACTTTATTCTAAATATCTTCATCTATACAAATAAATAAAATTTAAGTGTCTATTTGTAATGTCAAAATAATAGGTTTGTTTCATGCTCACACGGTTATTTGCACGATATCTATGCCTAAAGACCAGTTAAAAAAATGTGTCTGTCTGTTTGTTCCGGGTAATCTTTAAGCCGGCTGGGCCGATTTTGATAATATTTAACTACCATGTAGCTGTCTATATAAGGATCTATATAAGAAGTCACGGGTACCAGCTAGTATGAAAATAAGTTTCATTATTAGGGTGCAGAACTACTGTAACACAGAATTTCTTAAAGCCTTAATCTGTGTTCTATATAAACCAGTAGCCTACGCTCATACCCGAGATAACACAGCGACAAATGAGTTTGTTATATTCGGGTCTGTTATATTAAATTTGTAATTTAAAAATAAATCGTTCCTAATAGACAGATTGAACTTCGTGTGCTGTACTTATTTCCTTTTCCTTCCACGTGTATACGAGGAAAAGAGACAACAGATTACTATTTAAAAACAAGTCTAGTACATTTTCGATTGTCGGAAAGATAAACCTATTGTTTCTAATCACGATAATAGCCAGAATTCTGTCATCAATAAAAGCATTTAATTATAATTGTTTGTTAAAGATAAGTGATAATTGTACATGTGAATAATATCTGACTTTACGATCAAGGTTACAAAGAAACAGATAAAAAATATTGTTTTAGCCAAACAATATTTTAGGATAACATTACATTGCAATTATTACATCTATACGAGTAACAAAGTGTTCTAGCAGTAATACCGAGTCCGAAGTTGATACACGGCTTAAAGAAAGGAGGAAGTACTCCATAAAGTTAATTGTTTTTATGTATGCCTTGGGGTCTGGAGTGGTACGTCCAGAAGTGTTTCTTTGATGCTTTGCGATAGTAATAATAATTGCAGTTTATTCATTTTTCGGGATACAACGTTTAGTTTTTTATTTGTTTTTGGAGCTGTTTACTAAAAACTTTTGGATATTTAAAACTTTAATCAAAATAATAAAATTGAAATGTCTGTTTCAATTTTCTGTCAAAATATCAGGATCTTGGTAACTTTGATGTAAAAAATTTTGTTATTAGACCATTACGTACATTATAATTGTTGTACTTCTTCCAACCAATGCTAATATTGTTTTTACGCCAAAATAAAAAATCTAGAAACAATAAATATGTGGTTCTTTTCAAGATTTAAATGGACAATCGATAATTGCCATGTTTGTAGATTAAGTCGCGTGTTCTCAGGAACTAAAGATACAAAGGAGACATTGAGAAATCATATTAAACGTCCATTTTGCGCGATTCGATTCGCATATAATGGTATGCTACTTAAACCAATGGAAGTAATGGGTATGGCTGAGAAGACTGATTGATGTAATAGTTCCTCTGTTAAAGCAATCGCAACGAAGTATGTATTTGCTTTAAGGAAGGTAAGTTCAGACTATACCTATATGAGTAGAAAATAATGGAACGAAAAGAGTTGAAATAAACTGGTTTGTATAAATAAAAGAGGCAGATAAATAGCTTTGATCTCGAAATTATACAACAAACAACTTTGTGACATCTTTAAAAAATACAGATCAAACGCATTTGATAAGAGATCGGCCTAAAAGATTACCCATACCATTTAATATAAGTAATAAATTTGAATACTTATTTTGTTGATTGTACAAAGCACTTATCTATGGAACGGAAACCTCTCTTTCTATTTTAGATAGTACTAGCTGGTACCCGCGACTTCGTTCACGTAGACTAGGCGTAGGCAAAATTTTATAGGGTTTCTGAGAAGAAAAACAACCTAAATTACTCCTTATAGACAACTATCTGGTAGTAAAATATTATCAAAATCGGTCTAGCTGTTTAGAAGAGTCCTCGAAACAAACACAGACAGACAGACAAAAATTTTTTTAAACTGGTTTAAGGCAAAGAGGCATGAAAAAAAAACATATTATGACATTACAAACAGACACTTCAATTTTATTTATTTGTATAGATGACTTGAGGAAGGTTCTGGGCTATGTCTACGTATGCTCTGACTAGCAGCGAACATAGTCGTATAGTAATAGTTAATTACAATGAGAATAAATGCAAGTGAAACTGTCTCCAGTATATTTTTTTGCGAATTAATAAGAAAATTTATTCCGAAATTTATTCGAGCAGGGTGGCCTTTACGGGTGGCGAGCAGGGCCCGGGCCGGCCCGGGGCCTCGGTATCATCATTAAAACTAATTCCACAAAGACAAGGGCCTCGCAACAATCTACCGGTCCGGGACCTCGCAACAATCTACGAGTCCGGGGCCTCGCAATGGCTAATTTCGGGTAGACTTCGGGTCAGGAGAGTTGAGGGTCCTCCCCTTGAAGACAAAGTCTGAAATTACTTTTTAAGAGGAATATTTAATAAGCTGGCAAATATAATTTAGAAGCTCAGAAAAAACTGTATGTACATATATTACACCGTATATATATTACACCCAGGATTACAAGTAACCTAGACAGAAAACATTACTCAAATACTCACAAGAAAAATGATCATCTCATGAAAAAAATCAGTTCTTGGTATAAAGAATAATTGAGAGGGGAGAAGGTGGATATTTGTCACACAATCATGTCAGAACAATTCAACGGATTGGAATTTAATTCAGCACATATATAGATTAGTCTGGCAAAAATTAACTTGCAAAAACTTGTGATCCATATGTGTACAACGGTATTTTTAAATATCGTTTTAACACACAAAAGAATGTGTTCTAATGATAAATAATTGATATTTTTAGTAATCAATAACCAGGAAACTAATAAATAATCTACACCAAACTATAAATATAATTGATATAAGTAAAAAAGATATAACTAAGATAGTGTTTTTTAGATAATGTATGTTGAATAAGAATGTAGTTGTTCATAAAATTTAATACTACCAAAAACTATTTGATTTAGTTTTTTCAATTTTCATTTGACATTGGCAGAATTTTTGGCATTGTTTGCAAAAATTCTGCCAATGTCAAATGAGGATTGAAGTGATTATAAGGTACTGCACTACACTTTTTAACAGGTTTGTTGGTATAATGATTAGCGATAGTGACTACTGAGCCAGTGATCATTGGTTCAGTTTTATGCCAGGCCAAGGATGAGAAAACAAAAATCTTAGAATAATTTGTAAGACTTTCAAGTCAAATCAGTTAGTCTTTATACAACATTAAAATGTAGGCTCTGTAGAAATTTGTATGTACTAATGAGTATTGAAAAATTATATTAGTTTTAATATTTGATTTAACCTCCTTTCTAAGGAGAGCCCTTTGTCCAGCAGTCTACTGTTATAGGCTGTTGATGTGATGTGTTATGTGATTTGATTTACAACGGAAACTGGTATAAAGTAAAAAAACTAGTTTTATATGGTCTTATGATGTGTAGTCATTTTATGAGTACTTTAGAAAAAATTTATTTAAAATACCCTATTGATATACCTACCATAAACAATGACTACTTACAACTATTTTCTTGGAATGAAATAAAGTTAGAAAATTAATTATTTCTAGATTTATTAATTAAAAACTTAATTCTTCTGTGTTGTCATTAAAAAAAATATATATTCATAAGCCATTTTTTTAAATATAACCTTCTATATAAATTGTATTTCCAAAAATTATATTATAAGTTTAATTTTTTCAATGCAATCTTTTCATTCAATTAGGAAATTATTACTATGTTGAAAGGACTTTAGAAACAAAGTAAACAGACATTAGTATATTTTGATATATAAATAGTAGTTAGTTTTTTGTGCTACTTGGTGAGAATACAATTAATCAACATAATATACCTCCACAAACTAACAAATAATATATTATTTACACAATAATATGCAGTTAAATCACACAAATAATAAAATTCTGTAATGTGTGTAGAAACCGCACTACATAATATGATTTAGTGGCAGTTTGTTAATTAACCCATTGAATTATCAGATATATGTACGGGATATTCATTCCCTTATATAATTTGAATGCAGTTAGACAAATAAGTAAATAGATAGGTACAATTTCATATATTTATAAAATGTTTAAATAATATTACTTTGTAGGGCAAAGTTGTTTAAGCTCAAATTAAAATGGATCCCCAACTGTCAGTCAGTTTTTAATATGATATATTTATTATCAGAAAGTCAAAAATAAAAAGTTACTGTAAGAAATTAAAAAAGTATATTTACAATTGCTAAAAAATTATATTGAATTTGCATTAAAAAACAATTTAAAAGTTAAGCAATTACTCATTAAAATATTTAAAAAAGAATAGACACTACTAATATAAGACAGACTCAGACACATGAAGTATTAAGTTATAGAACATTACAAATTATTATAAGTATTTACAAATACTGAAAGCCCTAAATGTTACTAATATTATGATGGCTGAGTACAGAATACTTTCAGTTTTAAGCTCAGTCACTTTCATTGTAGTCCTCATTTAGAGCAAAAATTATGACCATTATCTTGCTCACATGTAATGCTGATACAGTATGTCAAACATACATATTCATGAGGTTAAATGACTAACCAGTGATGTAATGCAGATCTGGACACTAACCAAACACAACTACTATGAGATTTCTATCAGAATAGTCTCAGTCTAGAAGAATCTTCTTAGAAACAAGATGACTCACCTGGTAAGTGTTGTCAAAACTATCATACATGAACCTAGTGATGAGCGACGTCTTCCCCACTGGAAAAAAAACAAATCTTTGTGTCAGTATCCCATCTTATTACTTCAGATCATATGTGATGAAACAACACTATCGATAACGGCAGATAAGTGTAAGAACATAGTATGAGCGGTTTAACGCTCACAATGTACTCGGAGAGTGTAACCTACATCTCAACTCATAATTCGGCACAGCACACAGACGCGGCAGACGTAGGTACGACGGCAAAGTATTGATACATTATCCATGGATCAAATTCGCTATTTGCGCATCCCCGGGCTTATGTAGGTCAGTAACTCGATAAAGTCTAGACGAATCTATACTTGTATATCGTAAATTTAAAGCTATATATTAAAAATGTACGACGGAGGGGCGATAATTCGCCCTCTACTTACCACTTTGTTCCCCTAGGAAAACGAGCTTGAACTTGCGTAAAGGGTTACCGAATTCACCCGAGGCGGACATCGTGATTGTGTAAATTACTTCGCTAAACTATAATTTCACAGTTATTCTTATCACAGAAAACTACATGAACAATGACAGTTCAAGCCACTGAGCCACTCCTGCAGCACACACACGAGCGCAGCGCCGCCACGTTACGGCAGACTGACGGTGCGACGCGCAAGCCAACTCAGCAAATTTATTATGAAATAAATAAAAACTAGAAAGTGTCGCATTTAGGGATAGTAAAGATTTTATGCTAAAATCTCAGCCTAAGATTTAATAGCAATGCATTTTGATTTAGTTTCCCGACATATTATTTTGAGTAAACAACATTAGAGCGTTTGTTTCCGAACGTAAAGCTAAGCCATACCTTTTGTAATCGACTAAATGAATTAATTTGTTACTCAAATTTTGTTTGATTTCAATACTTCTAAATATATTCTTATTTTCTTATTATCAATTTATAAGTTCTAGCTTAATAGGTTACCTCAACTGTAATTATTACTACTTTTTTGCATATGATGAAAAAAAGAGTCATATATACTTGAAAATATAAAAAGATGTTTATTCTTGAATCTTGTGCCATTGGGCAAATCCAGAATTGTGCAGCCCGCGTGGCCCCAACATACACATACGTGGCCCCAAATTGTTTTTAATCTACCTTTAAATAAGAAATGACCCCTTAAAAACTATTATTGATGGAATTATAAGAGATATTTCTTAAGACACTTTTCAAAATCAGATATATATCATAAACAAAACACACTTGCATACATAATTGAGTACACACACCGACATTCACACAGAAACATTTTTAAACACATACCTACAACCATACATGGGCATGATAGTGTACAGTCGTGTTTATGATGACAACTATCCTTAAGATACTTCGATCGACCGAACACTGTTGCTTAAGTACCGGGTTTTACCCAGTTTAAGTGACAGGGCTCTTCCTTTTGAAGTAAACATAGCGGATTTTTACGAGCATACACAATATAGGAACCCCAATGTTTTATATGTTATCTTTGTATACATTTCCTTGTAACTACTAATTACGTATTAATAATGGCAATAAACCTATTTCTAATATATAAAACTCTCGTGGCACGGAGTGCGTGGTTGCATGGAATCAACTTGCACAAATAAAAGACAGGAAGTTCAATGTATATCAAATGTTTGGTTATTCTTATCATGAAGTTATGAATTTTAAATGGTGTATAATTTTTCTACCCCTTTTTGCTATTTTATTAGCTTAAATAGGGCACCGTATTTATCCTCCCAGCCTTTTCCCAAACTAGGTTGGGGTCGGTTTTCAGTCTACGTCGAAGTTTTGTAGATAGACTATTCCATTTCTGATAGGCCATTCAGTTTCTCGCATCGATCTCCTGCCAGCCATCTTACGCAGATCGTTACTCCACCTGGCATGTGGGCGTCCTACACTACGTTTGCCTAGACGCGTTCTCCACTCAAGAACTCGTTTACCCCAACGGTTGTCGGTTCTGCGGCTAATATAGCCAGCCCACTGCCATTTCAGACTTTGGTTCTCTGTCGGATCACCTCATTCTTGGCGCAATCCCTTAGGGAAACGCCGAGCATAGCTCTTTCTACAGCACGCTGAGCGACTTGACAAAGTTTGTGGACCAGCTGTACCGTAAGTGTCCACGTATCGGGTCGGTATGTATTGGCAGGTAGGACGCACTCGTTGAAGGCTTTCGTCTTTAGGCACTGTGGGATCGACTATGACAAGACTCGACGTAGCTCCACAAACGCTGGCCAACCCAACTGAATTCTTTTATTCACCTCGTCCTCGAAGTTGTCTCTACCTAGCTGCAATGTCTGCCCGAGGTCTAACCACGATAGGGAACCGTATTATTAGGAGAAATATAACGTCATCGATATCAAACATTTCGCGAAGGGAAGACAATTTTGCAGTCTCTTGCGAAGATATTAATCCTCCTTAGGATTCTTATGGGCGCAGGCAAAATTGCTTGGCTATTTATTTACTACGTACTTATCAGATGTAGGAGGATTATAATAACATTCGCAGAGAATAACTATTAGGTTCAAAAAGTGTTTTAAGAAATGAGGTTTCAACACACTTTTTTGCTCCTCTAGAAAATCAAAATACAAAGTTGTATTTTTACATGATTTTAATATTTACAATATGTTACATAAAAATAAATATCACAATTTTGTAATTTAATGTTTGAAATTAGTGTCAGAAAACATATACTAATATACCTACCATCCGTTGACCCAGCGCTGACACTGCAGAACTTACTTATAAGTAAATGTTTATGATTATAGTCCAACAACGTCGTGCGCGACCGTCCTGCGGGGTGACAGACGGTGGCGGGGACGAGGTACTCAAGATGTCAGCGGGTAGCGGGTGGTGTAGCGGGGAAGGGAAAAACTTCTCTTCGTGTGTAGCCGTGTGCTAGAATGACGCGCTACCTCGCCCCCGCCACTGTCTGTCACCCCGCGGGACGGTCGCGCACGAGATTGCCGGGTTATAGAATGCCTAGAGTTTTAACCTGTTCACCAGCGTTAACGTTAACTACATTTTCTTGGAATCAAAACTAAGAAATTTAATGTATTTTGCATATAAATTGAAATTAACGTAATCGGGCTTGTAAATGTGAAAAAAAAAATACGTTAGGCACGCAATCAAACACAGGCGAAGACTATAACTTTAAAATTCAGTCTGTTGTGAAATACTAGAATTTAAAAATTAATTTAACGGTCATGCTTTTAAAAGTTCTTAAAATATTTACGGAGATACTTTTTAACGTCGACCTAATATATGGTGTTGAAATCAATCACATCGAGTAAATAACAGAACGTGAGCAAATCTAGTTTAACCACAACATACCGCAACCTTATTGGCACACGAATTGTGTTTGAAAACCAACAACAACTAAATACTATCACTTAACTTTAGTTAGGATAAAACTATCTACAAGAAAATATAGTTTTTAAAAACGTCCGGTAAATAAACTTCCAACAGGTGGTATCGTTATCTACTGTAAATTTATAGGTATATAAAATATAAACTCTACATAGGAGAAATAATTTAAAATCAAGAAAAAAGGAAACCTTTACACACTTCTAAAGGAATCATTAACAAAGTAAAAAATCAGAATATTTGATTCCGATTTGTACTTTCCTCAGCTTACATTATACCAAAATTCTTTGGTTAGTAATTTTATCAAACCTAGTTCTACACGCAATGAGTATATTCCTAAATAGATGTTACGGTTAATCGTTGTTTTTGTGACCACGAGATATTGATTATACGAAAATATCAACAACGAAAAAACAATCACATGATTGTTTACCGAAAAACCTTAATTCAAAAGTGATGGGACTAAATAAATAAAAGGCACCATTTATATGATTGTTACACAATACACGAAAAAAATATTAATGTTATAATGACACCTGTTTAACTGGCGAATAATGATTTAAATGTAATTAAAAAAAAGAGACAGTATTCGTATATGTATAACATCGCACTAGCACTGCGCGCGCTCATTGGTCCATCTATTTCATTAACCAATAAGCACGCTTGGTCAATCTATTTCAATGACCTGTGAGCGCGCATGGTCAATCTATTTCATTGAGAAAGGAGCGCGCTTGTTCGATCTATTTTATTGACCAATAAGCGCGCTTGGTCAATCTATTTTATTGACCAATGAGCGCGCTTTGTCAATCTATTTTATTGACCAATAAGCGCGCTTGGTTAATCAATGGTCAATGAGTGCGCTTCCCTGGCTTCCGGTTATACACATCGGTCTCTTTTCACGTAATCACTCCACAGACTGCAGGAAAGCGAGATGAAAGATATTACACCTTAAAAATTTTGATAGTTTCGTAATGGTAGCCTTGGTTAGATAGACTGATACTGTTAGAACTAACAATAAGTTGTGGATGTAGTGAATGTACTCTTAGCACACTTCTCAAGGAGCATGCCTTCTAGGAGGAAACATATTCTCTTCAACAACAATGACACCACAAAGGAGATCATAGCCCGTGCGATTATGTCTGAACACAAATAAAACAACGCAAAGAGGGAATAGCAATGATATAAGGAAGTTCTTCATGAGAGACCTGAAAAGGGCAATGTTGAAGGAAAGAGGCCTGCCAGGGTAAAGCAACACTGTTTCTCTTGGGCGACCATCAACCGCAATGACTGCTGAGGCCGTCACTACTCGAAGACCTAGGAGTGCCTTCCCAGGGGTTGCTCCACCCGTTCGTCCAACACTGCCAGATAAACAGAAAGCCTGTAAAAAAAGAAAACTTTTCATTGATAATACTGTCGTGCTTACTCGAAACAATGCGGTCGTATGTCTCCTCAGAAGTACATGAAAAATTGTCAACACAGTGTGGAGTTGTGTTTTTAAGAGCATTTGAGATTGGTCGGTCAAAGGAGAACAGCCGATCCTTATCCCTAGTAATAAATGATGGATGATAATGAAACTCGTACCGTTTATAAAGTGAATCATCCTAACTATTTTTATGTAATTATAATAATAATAATAATAATCAGTCAATTGACAACCAGTATGTCCCCTACAGATTAACGTAGCCGTTTTTCGAAATGACTAACTTAATACCATTTAGTATTTTAAATCAAAGCTTTTTGCACTTCTTTTAAATATCAACATTACCGTTCTTGTGTGTTAAGCAACTGGTGTGTAAAAAAAATATCACATATAAATATGTATTAACAACCCGTAATGGCCAGCATGGTATTGTAAGTTTTCCTTTCCAAAGTAGGCCTATGTCCACAGTGGACTATTTAAGGCTGTTGATGTGATGTGATAAATATATTATACTTTGACAAAAAGTAAATTCTGATTAGATTTTTTTATTCAATGAGTTGCTGCAGTAGGATCACTGATTTATGATTTATAGGTGCATCCGCTCCAGGTTCTTCAGTGACAAGTAGATGAATAAATAGCTAGCAAAGTAAAAATGAGAGCATGCTACAATGGTGAAGGAATTGCGTAAGTAGTAAAATTACCTCAAATATGCACACAAGGATCCTGTATATTACTTCCAAGAAAAGTATTTCAGATGTCAGCTCCATTGCATACTTATAATCATCATAATGCTCACTGAATTTGTAGAAATCAAACTTTTCTAAGTCTCTGCAAAGGCACACATTATCAACTATAACAATTTCAAAACGAATTAATGACACAATGAATTGCACATTTAGTATTATTAAGACTATGTTCATTAATTAAATTATGTTCTTTGGCTTAAATGGATCGATCGACCTAAGTGGCGTACAATTGAAGAGGTCTATGTCCAGCAGCAGACTGTGACAGCTTATCCATAGCAATTTGAAAAACTTTTTATTACTTTAATAAATAAAATCACTTTTTTATTCCAAACAATTTTTTTTTTAATGAGTTTTTTAATACTTACATTAATTCAAACATGTCTACAGCTATAAACGTGACAATAAGTTTGAGGATGAACAGCAACATAAAATCGATGAACTCAGCAACAAGCCTCTTGTGTAACGGTGGTATGACATATTCATATCCACCATAGCGAGCAATCACTGGAAATCACAGAAATAAAATTAACAAGACTGCAGGAAACATAATGTACCTATTTAAGGAAAAAAAGAAGAATGTTTTGACAATAAGAAATTGTGACATAGTAATAATGCATTATAATGTTGTACCTAGATAAAAAAAATGTACATAAATTCATTCTACGAACATTTTGTTCACCTCACAACTCTGTATACCCATATTCTGACACATAAATTTATTTTTATTATTATTTATAAATGTATATTTATAAAGCTAGTAATTTATAAATGGTAACTACAAACGTAACTATATTTTTACTCTATTCTACTCTTTACGTCATACTGTTTAATGCACCTTCTTCACTCATTTCTAAATCATCCTAAGGTAGACTGGTAGAGAATGTCATTGGCATTATGTCTAAGTCTGTACACCTGTGCATCAAGAGTTAATATTTATTTACTTTTATTATAATGGTGTTCTTCATTTAAACATTGTATTGTACTTTGCATAGTATTACAAGAATCCTGTTATATAATTAAAATTACTTTTTTCTACTTCGAAAATATGAGTTCAATTAGTTTCAATCACTTTTAGAGTTTTTAACAAAATATTTTTGATTGACTGTTTTAACACCTGAATTTTTGGTTCTACTTACTTAATCAAGCCCAAGCTTGTTGCCCTGAACGTACAGAAAGTATTTAATTAAGACTTAAATTTCTAAATAAACATACTTTTACATTCATTTATTACATCTAAATTTACAAGAACTTACACCAGGAGACAGAACAAATAATCATTTTCACCATACAATATTTGACTCTGGTGGGAATCCAACCCAGAACCTCTGGCTTAGCAAATCAATCAATATTGCTACTAGTGATGTGCCGGATATCCGTATCCGTATCCGCGGATATCCAAGGGAGAAGAGAGATCCGGAACTGTATCCGTATCCGTGACTTTTTTGGCGGATCTTTCAATACATATTAGATAGATGAAATTCTATATAGGTGATTTTGTATTCACTGTAAAACTCTTATACTATCTATTTATAGTGTTACAAACTCTATGTGTTTGTAACACTATAAACAGCAACTGTTTTTCTGGCCAATGTCGAAATGAAAAAAAATTGGTCCTCCATTCAAATGTTGTTAGTTTGTATGGAGAAACAATTTTTTTTCTTTCGTTTTCGGTGTTAGTTCAGAAGAAAAGTTGTTGTTTAAAATGTTACTAATATGCACTTCAGAGGTTTTCAGTAAATTTAAATTTAACCCTGAATAATGGTTATTAGGTAGCTATGAAAAACTATTGAATTCTGTTCAGATTACTTTTTATTTCTTAAAACCAATATTTGGCACCTTTGTATTGCGATCATTTATCGTACTACACTAAATCAACTAGGCAGGTCGTAGGTACTGAAAGAGCTATCTTTATAATGAGATCAATCAAACATCTTTGTATTAGCTTATTAAAATAATGAAATATTTAAATATCAACGGCAAAGCGTCAAGTGGCGACAACTATCAAGGTCACGGGCTCCGATTGAGTAAGAAACTTAAGATCCGTATCCGTATCCGTATCCGCGGATCTTGACACCAAATATCCGTATTCGGATCCGTATCCGCGGATATACTTTGTTAACGATCCGGCACATCACTAATTGCTACCCACTAGCTAGACCAACAAGCCAAACATTGTTGTTTGCATGTTTAACAAAACATCATCAATCATCATCATCTTTCCCCTTTTTAAAAGCGACAGGGTGTTATAAGTTTGATGTGTCTGTGTGTGTGTCTGTCTCGTCGGTTCATCCGTTCGGGAGCTACAATGCCAATCGTAGCTCCCGTACAGATGAACCGTTTTTCATATTGTTTGAAAGGTGAATTAGTCAGGAGTGTTCTCAGCAATGTATGATGAAAATCAGTCCAAGATGGCCGCCACCACATAATGGCAGATTTTTATTTTTTCACAACTCCCTCAATTTGGGTTTCAAATGATTGAAATGATTTTAAATCCAAGATGTTTGTCTGGGGTTTTTTGAATTTTTAATTTAGTTTTTATTTTAAATTTATTTAGGGTCGGTGCAAAGATTTATCTTCTTCCATTCACCTCTATCACTTATCAGTTCCCTACTTACTATCTTCCTAGCCATATCTTCTTTCACCCAGCCCATCCATCTTTTCTTATGTCATCCTCTACTCTCATATCTGTCAACTTTCATACTGAAAACGTTCTTCACTACATTTTGGTCATCTCTACATATCATATGTTTAACAAAACAAGTAAACTATAAAGACCTCCAGCTTTTTATTAATGTAAGTGTAGAAATATATAGTATGTGGATAGAAAATCCATATCTATAAAATCTGAATGTTTATTTATACTTTTATAAGTATGTTTATACCAATCTTTCAATATATAATCAATATTGAAAGATTGGTTAAAAACATGATGAAATCGAAAGTGTGTAAGAAAATACATATTAAAGTTAATCTACCTTCAGCAGGCATAATAGGTTCAGCCTGAGGTTGTGTTGGTGGTAAATTGCGAGGAACATTTGGCACTGGAAACGGGAACTGATGGCCTTGGAATTGGTAGTTGTTATTCAACAATGGAACATTCGTTGCATGATTCTGTAACCCTTGGAATGTCATCATGTAATAAGGGAAGCATGTAGATAGATTTTGATACATCTGTGCTTGTTGAATCCATAATCTTAGAGCTTGAAAATAGGCTTCGCGTTCCGATACCGTAGGAGCAGTGTCACCTTCAGCTCGAACATCTGCAGCATCCGGTTCTAATGCCGGTGCTCTGTCTTCAATAAGTCTTTCCGATTCCGACATTGTCAGTCTTATATTATATTAACAATTGAAATTTTCTCATTTATCTTAGCAATAAATAATTCTAAAGTACACGTCAGTTTGTTGACAGGATTTGTTGTTTTGACATATTTTTTTTTAAATTAAACTTTTTTTTAAATCTGGAATCATGTGTTTTAGTATTTAGTCGATTATTGAAATCTCTTAATTTGTTAATTGGACACTGGGCTACTCCAGTGTGTATTGCAAATTTATGACTTATCTGAAAAATTATGGTAAAATATTAAATACTTGGCACAAAAGTTTGAAGTTACGACAAAGGGTAATATAACAAATTGATAGCAGTATATGTAATATTATTAAAGTATTAAACTATGTGGGCACAGAAAACTCTAAGGGCATTAACAATCTGCTAGATCTGGAAATGATTTTATAATTGTGATACAGTTTTAAAACTTTGACTTTGGGACTTACATTTTAGAAAGTTAATTTATTTACTTAGTCTACTGTAGTCACAGTATAAATTAGAACTTAATATATTTACCCACTCTATAGGTTAAAAAGGTTTCATATTTGTAGCAACACTCAAATGTCAGCCGTTGTTGAACCGAATGGCCGATGTGAACGTCGAATAATTCGGTACTGCGTGCGCAAATAATGGTGAGGTGAATTTGGGTGGTATGGGTTCGTAGTTATCTTTAATTCTTTGAAGTTCGTTTTTATATGACAACGTTTGTAGCCGTGTCGGCGTGCCACAATATTTTTAGTGTTGTGAAGTATTTAATCCATAATAAACGTTGATATCAAGTCAGAGTCAGCTGTGGACTAATCGGTAATATAGCGTATTTAGTTGACGCTATGCTATGTGTTCCATGTTGGACTTGTGGTAAATAAAGATAAACCACCGCGTGATACTTCGAGACCGGTTATACGTAAGTATTTTCAATTGAATCATTGTTTTCACGATTACATTTTTTCCGGTTTATTTTTGTTTCGTTTTATTTACTTTACTCGTATTTCCGTTACTTTATTAGGGTACTAATCTCAACGATAGGTTGGTTAAATTAAATTGGTTAAGAGTAGATTTTGGTATAATTATATTGTAGATATTACTTTCATTAAAAAAAAAATTAAGTCTGTATTAATTAAAGGTTAACTGTGTTACGAAAAAAGAATACTATTAAGTTTAAGAATAAAGTCCTGTGAAGAAGTGAAAAAAAAAGTGATTGAAACCTGATGTATAATGAATTAGGGTAAATTAATAATGGAACTTGGGTAAACATTAATTTCTACTATGATACATTTATTACTCAGTGATTCAATATCAGAATGAATCTAACAGGTTTTAAATTAAATAAAAAACATGTTTGTAATATTGTAATTTGTATATTAATTAAGTAGGTTTTGCCCACACATTTGTTCACATAAAAGTAATTTTTCTTTTGCTTGGGTACTTTTTAAAAACAAAATATTAGAACAATACATAAAAATAACTAAATGAACATTGATTTTAGCTTTAATTAGAAATATAGTAAAAGTCTCATAGCAGTGACAAGAGTAAACAATACACATTGGAAATCTTAACTGTTTATGTAGTCTAATGTTGGTTTCCAATTAGACACCTTTTAACTACATTGTAATTATACCCTCAATATTTCAAAACATATTTTCAGAAATGTATTTTGCAATAATGTTATTTAACTGTTGGGTAGTAGTGAAATTGAAGTTTATATTATTATAGGATTATAAAAGAAACAATGAACTTACAAAAGAAACAGTGTTTTTTTTTTACAACTAAGGATTCATTTAAGTAATGTTACAAGAGTGTTAATCTATATCTATACTTTTTAGGTAATAATAATATAGGATAGTAGGCTAATTAAATATTTTTAAGAATTTGTTAAACACAAGTAGGTACTCTGTGTAAAAGTATATTAGTAAAATCCAGTTAGAATTTTCCTATTTTAATTAGAGTGCACTATACTTCTAATTTATTCTGGCTGAATTAAACAGGCATATGTTACAATTATGAAAGACTTCAATAATATTACAGTATGTAACTAAATACTAAAATTATTAACTAATTTAATCCAAGGAAACAAATATTTTTGTTATCTACCCACTTCTGATACTTTGTAAACATAGTATATTTAATAACTTTTTTTTTTGAACACCCAGACTCAGAACAATAATTTGTGGATCACACAAAGTGTCATCCCATGTGCGGATCGAACCCATAACACTCAGAGTAGTAGGAAGCGGTGATGTGACCGTGTTCTTTTGATATCAAACTATTAGATATTTGAGACCTCTACCTGTTAAGTGTATCTCGAATACTTGTCAAGAATACTGAATACATCATCAATGTAAATTGTTAGTGTAACGCACATTCCAATAAGATTTTTTCAATGTAAAATAAAGTTAAGTATAATAATTTTTTTAAAGACAAATTCTATTTAATCTGCCCAAAGTGTAGAGGTTGAATGAGTAAACAAGCTTGAGTGCCCGATGTAATTTTTATTTATGTCACATATACCCACCTGCTGCATAAAACCCTGCAGCACTGAGCTAATGCAGATGTGAGCAACATTTTTTGATACATTATGAATTTAGCTTTTTCTATGTACTCAAACTGATTTCTTGTAGGTGTGACTCTGGGGGAAAGTCTCTCTCTAAATTATTGCTACTCTTAAATCATATGCAATTGATGACATGATTGCATTTGGTGACTGTAATTTCAAATGTGATAAATCACTACTTAGATTGGTTATAAATAAAGATTAATGCCATCAAAATAAAGAAGGTGAGTCACAGGTGTGATGAAGTAAAAAAAAATATCATATGATTAATCACAGGTTTTTTGAGAATTAGGTCCATGCCTAGTGGCAACGCAATTGTGTATCTTGAGTTGCAGGTGTTCATGGGTGGTGGTAGGCACTTACCATCACGTGATCCATTTGCTGCTTTACCTCCTATACAAAAATAAAATGGCATGTATGTAATGGCACATTAATTGCATTCTGAGTGTGTCACAAAGGTGGCCTTATCGTGATATAAATGGCTAATCATTTCCTATCAGCAGTTAGTTAAAAAGGAGGACTAAGAGTTTATATGCTTAATGGAAACAAAAAGTTGCAAGAAAGTTTTCTCTCAAAGTTCAAGATAATTATAATCTTTAGAGAAATAAAATAATTGATTTGGTAATGTAATACTATACCTGTTATAAAAGTTTTTAAAATCTAATACTTTATCAAACTAGCTATTTTGGATTCTGTATCCTGAGCATTTTAATTTGACCAGCCCAAACAGACTGGCCAAATAAAACATTTATTTCCCTATCATGTGTTTAGGCATCTTGTAAAATTTCAGGTATGTCAGTCCGTATCTCATATCAGCTAGCTGACGTCAGCGGCCCTATCTCAGCTGTAAAAGACCGATCATTGCAAGTTTTGGTAAAATTAAAATACATTTCATCTTATTTCCATAATAAGATGAAAAATATTCTCAATATCATTTATTCTATTACACGACGGCCTCTTGAACGAAGCCTATCACCTGTCATCTGTCATAGCCTAGATCTGCAGAAAATATAATATTTTAAAGACAGATTTATCGTTACTTAACCGGTGTTCTGTCAGTACTTATTATTATTATTGACGGGCCTGTTGGTCTAGTGGTTAGTGACCCTGACTGCTAAACCGGAGGTCGTGGGTTCGATTCCCACCCAGGACAAATATTGTGTGATGAGCACGGTCATTTGTTCTGTGTCTGGGTGTAATTTATCTATAATATGTATGTATTTAGAAATATATAAGTATGTTTATCAGCGGTCTGGTTACCATAGTACAGGCTCTGCCTAGTTTAGGATCAGACGGCCGTGTGTGTGTGTGTGAGATATATAAATATTAACACATTATTCCCATTTATTATGTTGGATATAGACAGGCTTCACATCGAATGGACAATACATCCCGAGTCGTGACACGGATCATGTTAATGTAGCCGTGAAACAATGGTTAAGCCCTTCGTTAGCTAGTCGTGATTTTGTCGGACCGCTTCGGCTTTCGCGTTGTATCCTCGCTTTACACTCGCTGACGTAATCCCATCACAGGTGCTAAAATATCCTGTAAATGTTTAACGTTTTTTTGTATGATGGTACTAATATTTCAATTGTTTAAAAATGAGACCGTAGACTTACTTTCTCGTAAGTACAATAAAATAAAAAAGAAACCCTGTTTGGTAAATACTAAAAATTTAGGTCACCTGTAAGATACATTATGATAGATTTTATATCGGTACCCAATTCAATTTGTTGTATGTTCAAATTGAATTCCGAATATCACGTTTATCACGGAATATATCCACAGCGTATGCCGAGCAATAAGTTTTTTACATGCAGTCGCTGTAATCCAGGAAGATGGGATCGAAACAAATTTTTGCCAGGCCATCAAAGCAGGATCTTCAATTATTTTTATTAATTTTACAATCTGCATGTGTAGTCCATATTATTATATACACTACATATATACGGTAGACTAATCGGTTTTTTTTCGTATGAAGACTCCTACGTGTCATACAACCACCGAAGCTTACGATGAACCTGACTAAACCCAATACCTAGACCAACCCAAACAGGCTTTCTGTCACAAGTGGGTCTATTGCTAGGGCCTCGAGTATACTCTTAGAGGGAACCCCTACAGATCTCGGTCGCCTCTCGATCAGAAAGCGGCCACGAGGGTCATTGTCCCCCTCAGGTTTAAGGTCACACTGCGCGGCACGGTGGACCTTGTCGCCCACGCGTCCAAAAGGCGCGCAGAATGCGTCGCGCCCTGTGTCCTGCTACGAGCTACAATAACGGACAGCCCCATCCGTTACTTGCAGGCCAGCGCTTATAGTCTGACGTACATGCTAACTGACTCCAGGAGGATAGCTGTTACGTAATATATGAGATAAGAGGCTATCATCCAATCTGAATACATTATAGTATTTTATTTCCTATTTGTACCCTTTAAAACGTACCAAAA